CAGTTAGAACCCTGACACTCTTTCAACAAGCTACACAGACCTACTACGGATAGCTTGCACTAGCAATCACGTAGGCGAACCTCACTATTGCTCAGACTTTAATAGGCAGACACGACATTAAATATATATATATATATATATATATATATATATATATATATATATATATATATATATATATATATATATATATATATATATATAGATTTTGGTTCCTATGAGGTCAGGTCTTCCCGTGCGGTCAGTGCGACATACACCATTAGTTATGAATAAATGCACCATACAGTGTTTGAAAATACACCAGAATGAAAAGTCAAAAAATACACCACACAAAAAAATACACCACACATAATGGTGTATTTACGAACACTGTGTGGTGCATTTATGCATACCTAATGGTGTATGCCGCACTGATCGCACGGGAAGACCTGACCTCAAAGGAACCTAACCCTATATATATATATATATATATATATATATATATATATATATATATATATATATATATTAATCCTCACACGAGAAAGAAGAAAGAAGCTATAAATGTTGAATGTGTTCTAAAAATGATGTTAGGAGCTACTATATATAGTAAGCAGCCCCCTCCATCCTAGCCACAGAAACAAACTTGAGTGACGCAGGCCCCAAGCCACAATCATAGAGCAATTAGTGCTGGCCTAAAAAATTAAACAACAATTTATAGCCACTCATTTTATTTTCTCTTTTCTCTTTGAATTATTCCTAACAAGAGAAAAGAGAAAAGAAAAAATAGAATGAGTGGTTATAAATTGTTGTTTAATTTTTTAGGCCAGCACTAATGCTCTATGATTGTGGCCTACGCCACTCATATTTGTTTGTGTGGCTGGGATGGGGGGAGCTGCTTCCTATATATATGAGCCCCAACATCATTTTTAAAACACACTCAACATTTATAGCTTCTTCCTTCTTTCTCGTGTGAGGATTTATATATATATATATATATATATATATATATATATATATATATATATATATATATATATATATAATTTTGTGTTTGCCTATTAAATTCTGAGCAATAGTGAGGTTCGCCTACGTGATTGCTAGTGCAAGCTATCTGTTGTACGTCTGTGTAGCCTGTCGAACGCGTGTCGGGTTCTAACTGCACCGTTACCGGGCAAATAACGTTTTTAAGGTAATGCTATTATAACACGGCACAGATTTCCTTCTACCATATACTCGTTGTGTCCGTGCTTCTTAAAAGTTACCAGCCCCCACGTTGACGTTGCTTAAATTCCCCAACAATTAAAAGCGTTATTTCAGCAACAGCAAACCTTTAACGTTATGGCACATTTTGTCATACACGATATAAAGATCACTGCGCTTGATGGGAAAAATTACAAAAAGTGGGCTCAAAGAATGCGTATCTTCTTTGAACAATTAAAGTTGGTTTACGTGCTGTATTCAGTTGCACCTGAACGTACTCCAGCAGTGGTCTCTCCTCTTGGTGCTACAAAAGCTAACCATGAACCTGATTACACTCCGGGTGTAAAATCGAGAGAAAGTAACCCTGAAATAGATTACATTCCGGGTAAAGAATCGGGTGTAACTCTGATGCAGTTTAGAAATGACAATGCGGCAGCCAGAGGATACCTCCTGTCACAAATGAATGACAATTGGTTCGACATCTATAACAAACAAGACTCGACAAAAATCATTTGGATATCACTGTCAGAACCGTTTACAACAAAATGAGTGGAAAAGTCAAGAAGTTCAGAAAGATGTTTTGTGTGTGGAAAACAAGGACACCGAGCATACCAATGCTACCATCGCAAGAGCAAAACTAGCAAAAGTCAATCTGACAGAGCAAGATGTGTATTGAGTCTCTTTAAATAAGTAGTTATTTTGAGTAACTATAATTGCTCTAGCTCTGAGGGCTCGCATGAAGTATGATTTTCTTAGTACTAAATACTAGTTGGGTTGCATAGATTTTGATTACATAGTAGTACTTATTTCTTTAGTATGCTGAATACTAATGACATTGATTGAAATGATTTGTGCATAGATATTGCTCAAATATTTTTACTAAAATAAAATAAGAACATATATCAAAGGTTTCAATTGCAATTTAATGAGAACATAGAAATGTCATCATTCTTGAACACTCTGTCTAGGAAGATGATTTTTAAGTAAACTTCGGTTTCACCACTCGACTTGGGAATGTTTAAGAAGTAGGGTGTTGATCATGCAGGCTAGTTATAGGGCCACTTGATCTCCACATAAAATGAGTCTGACTTTCATATGTTGTTAAATAATCAAAACCTTGCAATAGAAATTGTTGAAGTACTGCAATAGTAATATTGCATCATATGAATGCTTTATATGAGTTTTTATCTCCTCAAGCGAAGGAAAAATTGTGCAGGTGTCAACTTTGAATTCTCATTGTTGAGAGATATTTCCTAATAAATGTTAGTTGTATGAGATTAATTTCTTATAAAAATATGATGTGAAGTTTGTGATTATACTGTTCAACTTGAAGTAGCATGATGACAACATTATATCTATGACTTACTAACAATGAGCATTTGTATATAATATTATTATTTAAATTCTTGGTTGAGTCATCTTGAAAGACCTAAAATTCCTGTTTAAAGGGAAATTATGATGGGTTGAGATAACCAAATATGTTGAAATATATTCAACTATTGAGTGTGCATCAGGCAAAGTGCGAAGCTACAATAATGTTCCAGAAAGTAAATCGGCAAAACTCAATCTACAAAGGAGATAATGTTGGGCATCAAAGATCAGTATGGTTAAGAGATTAAATACATTTGACAAAAAATATTTGTAAGTGTTACATTGTGGGGGTGATTAGCTCCTTATATTTTCACTAAAAATTTCTCCGTGGTATTGAGAATAATGATAAAAGATAATATTTCATGTTAAGCATTAGAAATTTCAAGGGATTATTCACGAGTAAACGAAGTAATCGTCAAAATGCATGTAAGTTTGATCAAGAGAATCAACTTACTTGAAGCTAATTATGAGGATTAGTCATTGGAAGGGCATAATGCTTGAATACAAAAGTGCTCTTAATGATTTATACTCAATTGGGGTGGTCTATTTAGAGGTAGACCTAACAAGATCCCTGACTTGAGTGAAAAAAGGGTTAACTGCCTCTTATGAAAGATAATTGGGTATCCCAATAAGCTGAGTGACTAAGAAATATGTTGATAAACGTGGAGTTGTGGAGGTATCTAGCTAACACCCTCACTACATATACATTGTGATTCACGAACTGTCGTTTGCATTGCCAAAGACAGTGTCGTCTATGATAGAAAGAAAAGACTTACAACTAATTTATGTCTTTAACTACTCTATAAGCCTTAATGGTGGTTGATACTGTGATAGACCTGATAGAGTTAAAAGTCTGTATTGAGATGGACTTGACAAGACGTAAAAATCTACAATGCTATTAGACTTGTCAGAGTTAAAAGTCTATGTTGAGATAGACTTTGACATGGTAGAAGTCTATATTGAGATAGACATAACATACTTGAATACTAAGGGTATTCATAACAAGTCAAAGAGTTTGACTTTCGAAAAACCTGCATAATGGGTGCTGATGTGTGCACATGAGTTCAAAACTACCTCTCCTTGGCTAGTTCAAGATTCAATTCACTACTAAGGAGAAAGTTATTCAAGTCACTACGTGTCAATTCAAGGTCTAAACCACAGACATTAAGGTCAGCGCTCACTTCCGCTCAGACATTATCCTTTTACTTTTCTCTTTAAATATGTGGGTGATTGGGGGGATTGTTAGGAATAATTCAAAGAGAAAAGAGAAAATAGAATGAGTGGCTATAAATTGTTGTTTAATTTTTGAGGCTAGCACTAATTGCTCTATGATTGTGACCTGCGTCACTCATGTTTGTTTGTGTGGTTGGGATGAAGGGGGCTGCTTACTATATATATAGCAGCTCCCAATATCATTTTTAGAACACTCAACATTTATAGCTTCTACCTTCTTTCTCGTGTGAGGATTAATATATATATATATATATATATATATATATATATATATATATATATATATATATATATATATATATAATTTCGTGCCTGTCTATTAAAGTCTGAGCAATAGTGAGGTTCGCCTACGTGATTGCTAGTGCAAGCTATCCGTAATAGGTCTGTGTAGCCTGTCGAAAGCGTGCCAGGGTTTTAACTGCACTGTTACCGGGCAAATAATACTTTTAAAGTAGTGTTATTATAACACGACACAGATTTTCCTTCTACCATACACCCGTTATGTTCGTGCTTCTTAAAAGGTTACCAACCCCCACGTTGATGTTGCTTACTACCACCACCACCGCCGCCACTATTAACACAAACACCATAACCATTACCATCACACCAATGAGTAAAAGATAAGCTGACAAGAACATGACCCTAAAAATGCAAGGCACAAAGGTCTCCTCCCTCTCCCTTAAAGAATACACAACTATTGGGAAACTCCACCCCCTCCAAGAGACCAAACCAACATTAGGCTCCCGAAAATTTATAGTAGACCATAAATGGTACATTTTCAATATATCGAATATACATTATTTGTATATTAAAGATACATTATTTGGTAGTATACAAAATAATGTACCTTTAAAAAAAAACATTTAATGTATTAAAAATGTATCTTATGTTAGTGACCCACCTTACAAGGTGAACCATGGGCCATGTTATAATGATTGCAGGCTCCCTTCTTCCTACAACAAATAACACAAGTCTCCACCTTCTTCCTAAAGGTATACATAGGAATACCAATACATTTGCAGAGATTTTGACTTATTGCAAAATATCTTGTCATTTCATCTTACAATTTTCGTGTTAAAAATCATGACTCTACCCATTTCACATGTATTTTATTTTCTCCACCCCTCAAGATAGTGTCACTCAAAAATTCCCTAGATCTACATAATGATAAATGAATCTACCTCTTGAATTCATTACTTTGAAGTTCATAAAAGGAATTCCTACTTTTATCATTTATAATCAACATCAAAATGAAAAAAAAAATGGAATTCTTTTTCTCGAGCCTCTTTTTTATCCATGTTTGTGGTCTCAATGCAGTTCATACAGTATACGAGTATACAACAAACTAACCTCCGATGAATTTTTATACCAATAGACAACAGGCAATCTATGAAACGGATGCTGACGAGCACTTTGTCTGTGACATATTACTGTTTCACCATAAAGGAACTCTTGCAGCTACACCCACCCACTGCACTTGGATTTGTAGATACCTGCACATAAGTTAAGGACCTTAATTACTGCACATAAGTTAAGGACCTTAATTACTGCTAAACAGAACGGGAATCACAACAAGACCACATTCAACATCAATCATGGAGAAAAGAACGAAACAAAAGAAAAACCGGTCCCTTTAATGTGTTCCCAGGTTTTAAAGAGATCATATGCCAATTTGAGGCAACACACACACACACACACACAAACATGAAAGAGTGAGAGTCGACTAAGCAAATAAGCAATTAAGATCAACTCCTCTAACCCGCTAATAACCATTTTTGCCTATGACTGCTCGCTGGAAAATTTAAGGATTTACACTGCTCTGTTCAGCAATATTCCATGATATGCAGTTATGCAACAATGCAGTCTGCTGTGTAAGCTAGTTTAGCTAGTTAAAAATACAAACCTGAAAAGCAGAACGGATCAGCTCCTCTACATAATCAACAGTTGCACCTTTGACAAAATCAAATGAAATATTATCAACCACCAATTTAACTCCATCCTGCTCAAAAATTCTACAAATTCAAATACAAAAAAATAAGGATTTAAATTTAAAATTAAAAAATAAAAAATAAACGAAACTACACAATAGTCTAAATGAAATGAAAGGACATAAAGTATGTCAAGATTGAGCAATGGAGCTTCCAAAACCATAAGATTATGGAGAGATTGAGAAGATGGGAAATAAGCGGCCCCTCAGAAAATCATGAAATAATATGGGCAGTCACATTTATTGGAGGGCAATAGCTAAACGGGTATAACCTCAGAAGTGTAGAGCCAGGTTACCTATCATCTACATTGGCCTTGTCATCTAGAGAGAATTCATACTGAAACCCAGAGCAGCCACCAGCTTCAATGCTTAAGCGAAGCATCTTTTCCTTGGGTTCACTGACTTGCAGCTCCTTCATTCTCTGCTATCATACATGTGAAGTTAATAAAATTCAACTTCATTATTATTACACAAAAGCAATGAATTTTGACAAAATTTGTGAACCATGCAATTTTTTATGATTGAGCAGAATGCTCTTAAAGCAGAATATAACAAACCTCATGAAATAATATCAGCAACAGAGTTTAGTACTGCACTTGATAAACAGCCTAGCACAATTCTATTTGATTCTAAAACTATTTCATTGATTTCTGTTGAAGTAATCATGAAAATGCCAAAGTTTTCCTCAAACAACCCAAAATGAAAAGATCCGAACCAGTGTTCTGCTTAAAGGAGCAAAGTTTTACCCATGCATTTTAAATATCACCCTATCCCTATCCTTCCCTTCACAGCTCAATGCTCTTCTATAGCTCCTTTTTTCTTTTTTCTTTTTCTGTTCGTTAGATGAATGTTTAGGTGAGGGAGGCAAGCGTTATCCATTGCATATGATTGGCCTCAACAAGAACTTACACTAGAATCTATAGATAGCCCACTAAGGAGATTGCTACCAACATGAATTGAGCCTAAGCCATTTTGAGCAAAATGAAACGTCCTTAACAACTCAACCAACTTCATTGACTCTCCCACAACTAGTGTTGCAAAAATCCCGCCTAGGCACCGATTATGCGCTAGGTGCTGGCTGGCCACCTAGGCTGCCGACCACATAGGGTCTTCTAGGCACTGACTAAGTTGCCTAAGCACCAACTAGGTCTCCTAGTCAGTCGATTAGCTATTATCCCCGTTTTTTTAAATGAGTTATTTCACTCAAAACAACATCGTTTTGAGCGAAATAACCCTAAATTGTTCAAACTCTAGATGCTTTTTTAGGTTAATATTTAATATTTTAGTATTAACTATATTAAAGTATTAAGTCTTAAAAATTAAAAAATTTTAAACAAATTTTAAAAAATAAAAAATACACAAGCGCCTAGGAACCTATTAATCACCACCTAGGCGCCCGCCCAAGGAGCATCTAGCTATTTTTTCAACCATGGCCATAGCTCTATCGCCATGCAAAATTAAACTAATGCGATTGAATCTTTTTCTATGATCAGAGCTCAAAGCTGGATTCAATTTATCAGAAAACACTCCATTTCCGTTTTTCTTATTGCAACTCCAAAACTACAGAGTATTAGTAAAAGCCCTCCAGGAAAAAAAAAAAAAAGGGTTGCTCAAAAAAAAATGATAAAGAGGCTTGGTTCAAAATCTCAACCCACCTTACTGTCGATTCATCGAAAAATCAAATTGCAAGGAAACAGTGAAATAAACAATTATATAACAAAACTAAAAAGAATAAATATTTCATTAATTTGTCAAGCAAACGGGAGCAGTAACGAATTTCGTACAACTGTTAGCAGAAAGAGAGTATACCCGGACGCAATTCTCAGTCATGAAAACGGAATCATTCCGGGGTGTGAATTCCGGCTGCTGCTCCGGTAGAGCAGAGGATGAAAAAGTTGTAGAACTAAGAATCCTGTAGTTTTGGCGGATCCGGGAGGCGAAGAACGGGGCGGCCCGAAGAATCAGCGACCTTGACGGCGTCTTCGTCGTCATGGCTTATGGATTACAGTATATCATCGTCTTAGTTCATCAGAATGAGAGAGAAGAAGAGTAGCGTTTTGCAGTTGGTTTCGCCGCCAAATGAATGGTAACTAATCGGAACACGGAGCTCCGACTTTTTCAACAGTAGAAGCGTATGAATCGGAAGATTTCCAGTTTAACATCGCAAGTTGTTGAAAAATGAAGATGAACCCCTGTACTTATGGAAATAAATAAATTTCCCTAAAGTTTTTGCCATGTGATAATTTTACGATTGAGGGAGAATGAATGAAAATCTGAAATGTGTGGAAGAAAGAGGTAAGAATGAGACACTTTTTTAAAGTTGTATAAAATAGGGAGAAATTTATTTGCGATTTTGAGTTTTTTGTCAGAAATTTAAGTTGCAAATGATTTGATACAAAAAATAATAATTTTTGTGATATAAATAGACTTGAGTTAGTAATTTTTAATTTTTTTAAAAAATAGTGATTTGATTTTAGTAAAAAAAAATAATATTTATTATTTTTGCTTGAAATGATGAGAAATTTTGATGGAAGAGGTAAAACGTGTTTTAAAAAAATAGTTTTTGTGATATAATTAGACTTGGGTTGATATATTTTTTTATATAAAAAAAAGATAGTAATTTGGCTTTAATCAAAAAATAATATGTATTAATTTTGCTTGAAATGATGAGGAATTTTACTAATAAAGAATGAATGCAAGAGGTGTCGAAAGGATAATGAGTAGAAAGAAAACTGGTCATGGACTAATTCTACAATCACAATGAGATGGAAAAGACAATATTACCTATATTAAAAAGGATAAAAAAATCAACTAAAATTGAACGGAGAATGTACCGGAAGGACCAAATTCGCTAAGAAAGTAATAGTCGTGAACCAATAATTCTGTAAGTTTTGAAAGTCGTGGATCAAAGTTGTTAATGACACTATAGTCGTGGACCAAAAGTGCAAAAATCTCTTTAATATATTAAAAATGTACATTGTATTCCAATAAAATACATTATTTGAATACTGAAAGTATATATATTATTTTGTATAATGTACATTCAATACACGAATAATGTACTTTTAATATATTAAAAATATATCTTTTGTATAGTCTATACAATATTGTGTAGATCATGATTCACAAAATAATTTGCCTTCATCGTTATGTGCCTACCCACTATCCTTACTCCCTACTCACTTCGGACCCGACTTACCATTAAAATTCACAAATTTCTCAATTAAATGGTACTTATATTTTATTCCCTTTAGGTACTAAATGTTGGATCACGCTTTGAACACAATTGAATTGTGTTTCAACATCCAATTTTATTCCTTGTTTAGATGCCTATCACATCCTTAGTTTTCTTATCATTGCCCATAGTAAACAATTCAAAAGCAGTACGTCACGTCTTGCTTTTATAATTTATTGCAACTGTTTGTCATGCTATACACACGCTTGTTGGATTGTGTTTTAACATCCATTTTTATTCCTTTTTTAGGTACCTATCTCATCTTTAGTTTTGTCATTATTGCATGTGGTCAACAGTTCAAAAATAGTATGTTATGTTTTGCTTTTGTAATTTAGAGCATGCACATCAGTGCATTTTATTTAAATTTTGTAGATCAAGAAACCAAGGGTGAGTTTTTAACAGGTGTAGGAGGAGTGTTTTTTTTTTTTTTTTTTTTTTTTTTTTGCTTTGAACTCCTTCAGATATTGTATTTTTGTGGGCCCCATTGTTGATGCTAGCAGACGGAGAAATGAAGAGATAAAACACGCACCTGATGCGCACGTAGCTGGCACATGCAATGCACGGCGCATAAATGTACTGTGTTTAATTTTTTATTTTTTTCTGAACACGTACTTGTCAGTTTTTTGTTTCTTTGCTTCCTCTCTCCTCCTCACTCTCTTTCCTACATGGACTAATAAAAACCACGGATAAAACTAATACTACTATGGATGCTCTTAATGCAACCGTCTTTCACACTATATACACCGGCTTGATGGATTGTGTTTTAACATTCTTTGTTTTCCATTTTAGATATACCTATCTCATCGTTAGTTTTGTCATCGTTGCCCGTTGTCAACAGTTCAAAAGCAATACGTTACGTTTTGCATTTATAATTTACTTCGAACCAACGGTTTATCACACTATACACATCCTGACTTGCTGAATTGTTGGGCATGGAGAAATCAAACTCTTCCTCTCTCATACCATCAAGCTCACGGCTGTCGTGGCCTCTCCAACCGCCACCATTCAATCTACCCGCCGATTAGGGTGTTGTTGAAGTCGCTCGGTCCGATGGCTTCAAATCAGTCAAGGTTAAATTACTTTTCTGTATATATGATTGTTTTTCTTCTCCATCCTTATTCAATTCCTCCTTACCTATAAAGCTAAAAACTTTTGAGAGTACAATTTTACAGTTTGAAATCAATCTTGATGCAGTATTACTTAGAGCATCCTTATCAGTTGGGGTTATTTCTTAATTTTTTGTTGGCCCCAGCATCCACTTCATCATCCACTATTTCACTCAATCACAAAAACTCTTTTTCACATCAATTTTAAGTTGAGTTCTACTACATGGACTCCCAAATTCTACTCCCCCATTTGTACTCCCTGAGATGGCAAACCAGGATTGGTTATTTTCAACATGTGGGTCCACAGAAAAGTGTCTACATCAAAAACATGTGAGAGCGAGTACAAGTTAGGAGTACAAAATGGGAGTACACCAAATATTTCAGTTATTTCTCAGTTTTTTGTGGACCCACCATTTAACTCACTATATTTTAATTATTTCTTTATCTATTTTATTTATAAATTTATAATTTTAATGAAACATGGAACTATGGAATTATGAAACATGCATACTGGAATTAACCCACATCAATTTGCTTTTACAATGAAATATGGAATTATGAAACATGCATACTGGATTTGTCGTTGTTGCTCCAACTAATTATAAAACAAAACAAAATAAAATAAAATAAAATAAAAGATAATTAAAATTGAGAAAATACCCAAAATGGTCCCTCAACTATAGCTAAATTCACAAATTGGTTCTTGACTTTCAGCTTTAACCAATTAAGTCCTTAACTTTGCAATTTTAACACGATTTGGTCCTCCGTCTATTTGACCGTTTATTGACTGTGATCTTTGAGGATATATATGTAATTTCATCGCCGCCCGCCCTCATCCGCTGCCGTGACACAGTCTATCGCCCAGCTACAAGCCACTGCCCAGCCACCCACATCTACTGAAATGACACACTCTACCACCTAGCCTTCACCTACTGCCACGACACAATCCACCGCCCAAACACCTTCGCATAATTCATCATTGCCGGCGCTACAACCCATTTGCAATCTTCATCAGGTCCAACGCCACAAACAACCGTGTCTGAGTCTACTGGGCGGTGCCGCGATTCTCGTGTCCAACAAGAAGCGCGATTCAGGTCGGGACAAGTACCGGCTCATGCACGTGGTCCGCACGCATAAGGGCATCGATGATAAAGCCTACCGCTGCGTTTACGAGCAGGAAGATCCGCAAGGGAAATTCAGAATAAACCTCTCAAAAGACCTAATGGTGATCGCCGGCGAAGCCCTCAAATCTAACATAACCACAATCGGCCCGCTCGTTTTCCCGCCGTCGGAGCAGTTCCTCTTCCTCTTCACCCTAATCGGCCAGAAAATCTTCAATCCCAAATGGAAACCCTACATTCACGACTCCAAACAGGCCTTCGAACACTTCTGCATCAACGCCAGTAGCTGTGCCGTCATCGACGATCTCCAGAAGAATCTGCAGCTCTCGTCGGAGCACGTGGAGGCCTCCAGGATGATGTTGCACCTGTTTGGAAACACGTCGCCTTCTTCGCTCTGGTATGAACTCAACTACATTGAATCCAAAGGGAGGATGAAGAAAGGCGACAGGATTTGGCAGATTGCTTTCGGCGGTAGATTCAAATGTAACAGTGCGGTCTGGAAATACAATCGGAACCTTAAAAAATCGACGATGGACCATGAAATTACATATATATCCTCAAAAATCACAGTCAACAAACGGTTAAATAGACGAAGGACCAAATCGTGTTAAAATTGCAAAGTTAAGGACTTAATTGGTTAAAATTGAAAGTCGAGGATCAATTTATAAATTTAGCTATAGTCGAGGGACCATTTTAGGTATTTACTCATTAAAATTAATTACTTAAATTAATTGAGAAACATGCATATGGAATTATGAAACATGCATACTGAATAAATTAATTGTATTTCCAAAAAAAAAATAATTAATTGAGAGTGCTAGCGGCCACTCTCAATCGCTCAGGCGGGCGCGTGTATCACACGCGCTAGCTGGGTGGGCAGTGAGACGCAGTGCCTTCTTTCTCTCTTTTTTTTTTTTTTTTTTTTTTTTTTTTTGTTTAAATTTTTTTGACATTATTGTCCCATAATTTGCAGGGTGATTTTTTTTCAAATAACACCCATCCACATCTGTTGCTTTAGTTTTATAGGAGTTCTGCAAATAACCCCAAATTTTTTTTTGATGTGGTTGCTCTTAGAACCAGGGATTGGAAGAAGGTTCAGATCACTGAGAGAAGTGGAGAGGCACCTGAATGGAGAAACGGTTTCTCACATATGCAAATCCAGTGAACTCATTGCATCCAATAATCGTCCCGGCGGGGCGTTTTGACATCTAGAGAAGAGTGGTTGGAGAGGCCTCCTCCATCGAAAGTGAATTGGCCAATTGCTAATCCTCAAGGAGATGCCTGGAATCCTTCCATTGGTGGCATGAATTGAAAGAAAGAGAATATGATGTGGCAAAGTTAAAAATTGCAAACTAAGTTTTTCAAAAGAAAGAAAAAAAAGCCCAATTTATTGCATACCCGGGAGTTTCCCATTCGAGTCGGTCAGCGGTACATTGTCAAATGAAATTATAGTAGAATTAAAATGATATTGTGGTGTTGTTATAAGGAAATTAGTGGGTAAAGAAAATGAAATTAAAAAACATGGCTCATACAATAACGTATGTATATTATAAAATTAAAAGTGTAGTATAATTAAAATGCTAATTTAGTGTTGCTATAACGAAACTAGTGTGCATGTAAAATGAAACTAAATTTCAAAGTAATATATTAGCACACAATTTCATTAAATTAGTGTGTGTAGAAAATGAAACTAAAAACTAGAGCTCATTCAA